GCAGGAGCCAGAAGGATTCAGCACCTGGAGAATCAGCTCTTTTGTGGTACCAGGGACTAACAGTTATAATTAGAACACGTAATAATATATTATGGCAAACAATAAAAAAGGATCAGGAAGCAAATAAATGAATTGCTTCAACATGGCAGTTAAAACTTACTTTTAACATTTATTTCCCAGTAAATGACTAAGTTTCAGCCAGTACCATAGTCACGCTAAAAAAAGAAAAGCTTTTTAATGGTCTATATTTGCACTCCTTTTCCAAGCGGCAGGGTTCACGGTTGCCAAAGTGCTGAACAAGCTCCGATTAGCAATGCGGTAGCACTGGCTTACCCTGATGCATTAATGCATTCTTCTCTATGGCTCATTTAATTTGCACGCAGAGAAAGATGTAATGGGAATTTCCATTTTAAAAAAAAAAATAGTACACATTATTTCATACAGAGCAAATAAAGATAGCATTATTACCTTTTGTACAAGACTACACCAGTTATCAAAATCACATTCTTCTTTGCAAAAGAAGCCCTATGGAAAAAAATACACACAGTAGTAGTATTAAACAATAACAATATGTCAATGAGTGAAGGATGCTGTGGCATCTTTATGCACTGTTTAAAGCTTTAAAAACATACGTCTCAAGTGACAATCACCCATAACCAAACTGAAGGATACTGGCATGGGATCAGATTTCATTTCTTCAACTAGCACAGGATTCTTGCGATGTATACTGGATGACTTCTACAAGTAATTCCATTTAAAGATTTGTAAATTATGATCTAAAATAAGTTAAGCTTAAGTAAGTAGCTTCTCCAGAGCGACCATGCATACATGGTAGTGATGGAATAAAATAAGGAAACCTGATTCAGTTCCTTGCTTTGACCTTCAGAATACTTCTTGCAAAAGGTAAATGCTGCTCAGTAAAGAAAATGTGTTGGCTCCCTAGGATGCAAACAGCCCATTCCCCGCTTGACCTACGATTAATGTATCCTAATGCAGTTTATATATAAACTACTACAAGTTGGATTTTAAGTTGTAGAAGACAGCTTTCTGATCTTGATTCTACTCAAGGAAATGCATTACTGCCCTTACCAACAGCCAGAGGTATTACTGTGAAATAAGGTACACGCATCTATTATTTCCTAACACCTACTAAAGCTACTGAAGGGTCCAGATTCATGATCTTCATTCTGTGTGGGGCTTGCTGGCAGTGGAAGCTCTGGTCATCAACTGTGCCATTTTCTTCCGAATCTACAAAACTTTGAGTGGTGTGAGGGTCCAAATAGATCAGCTCGTTGCCTGTATGGGTAAAATCCGTATGTTGATAATACGTGAGAGACTTTAATAAGCACTTATTCCATCCAGCCTTGTAAAATAGAAATTTAGATTATCATCACCATCAATATCTAGACTTTCTAGCTAGGGAGTCTTCAAGAGAATCAGGAAGTCAGACACAATAGTTCCCCACAGGGTATTTAGTAAAATTTTCTATTGTGACCTATATTACTGTAGAATTTTTGGTTGGTTTGTTCTACCTTTGTCACATACTTCCCTTTTTCTACGTATGTGAGGTCCAGTACATTTTTTAAAAATGTCGACTGTTGTACCCTAACATTCCACAGATCAAAAAGTGCAGGACGACCACAAATGCAATCTGTAATCCCATTAGGCATTCATTCAGAAATTGGAACAGAGAAGTCTGACTAAAACAGTTCAGGTTTTACAAAAGGAAGAACAAAATAGCCACAAAATTATGATCAAACTGGGGCGAAATCTCAAAGACTAAAGCAATAGTTAATACTAGATTCAGTTAATAAAGGAAGACATGGAAGAAGGTGAAAAAGACACTGCTATCCGAGTAAGTTTGAAATACGAGATTTAAGCAAACTGTGAAGTGAAAGAATAAACCAAGACACCCTTCATTAGGAAGTATCAACGATTAGGAAAAAAACAGCGTTTTGGCAGTACTGACATTTGACGCTTGTCAAATGCTATCAACTAATCTTAGTGTGCTGTTCTTGCTTGTATCATTACTTATTTTTACATCAAGCTTTGCTGCTGCTTTTCCATTCCTGTAGGGATGATATCACACTGTTCCTGAAGTATTTGAGGTATGTTTCTTCATTTCTTCTACTTTGTTCTCATGCTTAAACTGCTTACTATTTCCCCTCCCAAAAACAAACAAAAAAAATCAACCCCCTTCTCTTTAGATCATATGCATATTCGGAGTAAGTTTCTTTTTTCCTTACCTAAAAATCCTATGAAATAATAGGCATTATTTGGTTTCCCTCCTAATGCTCCCAAAGACTGTGGCATCTTAAAGCATTCCTAGGAGTTCAAAGGGAGAGAAATGAAATTGTAGTCGATTTGTTTATTGATGTAACGGATACCTCAACTTATTTCACAATAACAAACAATTCACTGAAAAAAACTTACTTTAAACGCATCAATATATACTGGATTTATGTGATTTATCCCTAGCCGTAGAGGTATAATAAGCAAGAGGGGCTTCCAGCCTGTGCAGAATCCTGCTGCGTTCTTATTCCGGCCAAGAGGACTTCTGTGCAAATGTGCGCTGCTGTGGGCCGCGCTGCTGCTCTGGGGAGGGGACCAGCACATTTTCTCTGTGGGAATAAAAATAGAAATTAATGAATGTATGACATCAATGACAGAGTATGCGCTGGCACATTAGCGAGACATGAGATAAACGACGGGGGGATGAAAACGTAAGACTGAAGTTAGATTTACTACTAGCATTATTAATACTGCCAAGCTTTGCCCATAAAATGTCAGGGAAATGAAACAGCAGAGCTGAGACTATTAGAAACTCTTCAGGGAACTCTCCACTTCCAGCGATGTGAACATAAACCAGGCAGGGGTAGGGACTACAGCAGAACTAGGCTGTGGCTACACACCACTTGTAATCCCACCTTTCTCACAACTGGAAATTAAGCCTGGCCGTCTGTTTCTCTAGGATCTGCCCCTGGTTTCTCTTTTGCCTGGCAAAAGCGCATCTCTCTGGCAAACTCTGCATTAAAACCAATTCTCTGTATTTCTACATACTGCAGCTTCATTCCATTTCTGGGGTAGGAGTTGAGATAGCCCAGACCAAACTCCGTCTTCTCCCAAACTGCACGGTGTGTAAGTCGGCCACCAGAAGGGCCTACACCGTTCTGTGCTAGCTTTACTTTTGGACACCCAAAACCTCAGTTTGCATTTCCTTTATTCCTTTTATACCCTGGGAACAAGTAGGGGTGGCCCCAAAATATTTTGTTCATCTTTAGATACATTCAGGAAAGCGGAGTCAAATCAAAAACTGTAACCAGAGGACTAATGTTTCACTTACTGATGTCTTCAATGACCACTGTATTGTCCATAGATACATAAACTGCTAATGAATTCCATTCATCAAATAAAGCAAGCTTCCTAGAAAACATTAAGGTAATAATTAATATAACCTATAGCTTTTCATTCGGGACAATAAGATGGTTCTTGAGCAAAAAAAATGAAATTGTTTCTTTGGATAACGTATTTGTTGGATTATTTTAAGTCTCCATGTAATAAAAAGATAACTTTGAAAATTTAATATATTTAGAAAAGTAAGTACTGAGTGGCGCCAGGAAAAGCACCCACACTGTAGCATGTGAAAACTGTTTTGTCCTTTTGCCAAATGCAGTGATAGTAACAGCTCAACCACATAATTAGGTTTATTACTTTTTATTGCATTTAACAGCCTCCGCAATAGGCTCCTGCCCACTGTGCCTGGCACTGTCTAGGGAAGGAAAAAAAATCCTGTGCTAGTTTTGCACATTAGTTTTTGCTTAAGAAGTTCCACTAAATTCAGCGGAACTATTTCTGTGCACATGCGGACAGCAGACTCAGGGCATTACACTAGATCAGCTAAAGGTCTTTGGCACCCAAAAGTTAGGAGGGAGGCATTATAGCACACAGGTTTCTGTCCACTTGTGTGAAATCCAAAACTCTGGGGAAGGGAGCTACACTCCTAGGTTGCACAGGCAGAGTCAGCTGTCTGAAATAAGCCAGAAAAACCTGTATGTGAGCACCAAGCCATGAAGAATTTGTAAGTGAAAAAAGCTGGAGGCCAGGGCATGCTTTAGCTCCTCTCTGTCTCTCCAGAACGCGTGTCTGTCCCAGGGCTGCCAAGAATTGCTGCTGGACACTCGGGACCTGCAGTCTAGCCTCCACGTGAGATGTGGCACCTCCACCCATCCCTCAGAAATGGAGCAAAGTCAACTCTTTCAAGCGTGCCTTCTAGACTAGGAGGAGCTGCCCATGTTTTACAGAGCAGCCTCCAGGCAGCACCGCAGCTCAGCGAGGAACCGCAGTTCAGTTCCCTCCTTGGCCTGGCTGGCTTCACCGAGGTTCCATGCCACCACTCCAGTCTGCGCGGTGGCACTCCTGACCCGCCCAAGCTGTGCCACGTTGCGGACAGGAATACGTAGCTCTGGTGCTTGCTGGTGAGGCCATGTAGACGGCACAGCAGGAGGGGCCTTTTTGCAGGTCTTCCCCAGGCTCTTGGTGTACCAAAATTTAGAACTCGCCCAATCCCAACTCAGTATCTGCCCACCGGGCTACGGCATCATGGTCTGTGCTGCACTTGCGAACACATGGCACATATAGTCCTGATTCTGAGAGAGGGAGAGCGGCCTTTGAAACTCTGTCTTGGGCCTTATCCTGGTCTCAGAGCTTTGCTGCCCCACGTTCGGAATGAGCTAGTGCGATTCGACTTACTTCAGTACTTGAGCAACTGTATTTGGTCCAAACCATTCGCCAATTGATTTCCCCTCTCCAACACCCATCTGTGCTGTTTTTATGAGGAAAAACACACACACAGGAGAAAAGAAAAAAACACCACAGAGAGTCTGGTCACAATATATGTTAAACAGCATGACCTACTAATATTTTGACATACATTCTAGAGCAATTGCAAACTGGATTTAGCAACCACAATTATTTTCTCAATCTATGCCCTTTTCAAATCTTAATGACTGCTAGTTCCTTTACAAAAAGTTTCTAAACTGTAATGAGAAGCACAAATATTAGTGTCCTTTATTACAAATTACAGCAACAAGCTTCGTGACTGTATTTTAATATTACCAACTCTGGTACCCAAGGCTTACATGTTTTATCAAGAGCTAGATTCCAATATACACATTTATTTAGGTCTCAGTGAATAGCGTTTCTGAATTATTATACTTTGTACCCATATGCATGCATTTTTTATTATATATAAACATATACATTGTCTTCATAATGACCTTTTTAAAATTTTGAACTACCGTATTTCAAATTAGAAAGTTTCAACACAGTAGGAATTTCCGTGTTAAAAAAAGAAATTGATGTGTGTTCTTACCCATTTGGTGGATGGAATAACAGCAATCTTTTCTATCTAGAAAGCACCGTAAGATTCTATGATATTCTTCTGGTTGTTTTTTGTGTTTTTCCCATTGCCAATCTTAGAGGAAAAAAGTTATACAGATTAAAAAATAATAATGTTTCCATCGTCCTGATCAAATTTCTAGATAGCAGAAAGCCATACACTGAGATGTTAAAAGACTAATGTACAATTCATCTCTAATATTTACATTTTATTTAGAGTTCCTAGAAGTCACAGCTTGTCATTTATTATCAAGCTGTCCTTTATCATCGCAGGCCAGATTGTGAAAACTGGGAAAATAAAATAAAAATGTCAACCGCAAATATATTCTGAGTGATTGCTGCTGAGAATTGATAGCTATTGCTGTATGTGAGCTTCCAAGATTGTTTAAAACTATACGCTCTGTTTAGATTTTGTTGGAGTTGTAAGCATACATCAGATAATAAGATCCATAAAGCAAAGTCCAGACACAGTGCTGGCCCTCTCCCGCAGCAAAACCCAAAACACAGCTTTGCCGTGTATGCTCTTGCTTCTAACGTAAGGTAGTTGCCTCCCATTTACTGACAGAAGCGCATACACAGGGCTGATACTATGAAGCAGCCATATACACTCAATTCTAGTTTTTCTCAGGTAATTTGTTTGCCTACTCCTCCAGTTAAATCTTTGCACCTCTGTTCTGTGGATTCAGTTATTCAAGTGGATAAATCCTTCTGTGGATTCAGTTATTCAAGTGGATAAATCCACAAAGCACGCTGCCGTAGGACCCACAGCACAAGAGTACAAGGATTACAGACCTAACCGTAATAATTGAATTGATGCAGCAGCCGCACACAGACCAGACCGATGATCCTTACCTGTCATCCCGGGGCGTGAGGTGTTGATACAGGCTTAAGAGCTTGCACTAACGAGTTCTGCTGCGGGGTTTGGACCTCAGGCTGGTGATGGGCGAGTGGTATGTGAAGTACTTTGTATGGTGTCTATTACTATGTCACTATTCACACAGTCACTGTGTGTGAACATTTGATGGCTACATAAGCAATGAAGAGAAGGGTAAGAACTCAGACCCACGGCGGCAGGTTTTCCCTTGGCCTCAACTTGGGTATTCCTCAAAAAGATTTATAAAATAACGACAATGGGATTCCCTATTTGTCCTCCCTCTATTTCTATTTCTCTGCTTAGGGCTGGCATGATTTCACCCTGTCAGACAAGAATAATTCACTAGTAACTTCTATTGGGGCATCAAAGAAAGTTACATTAATAAATGTAGGTGTTGTGCTTGTATGGAAAACTACAACAAAAATTAAACGGTCTCCAAACAACACTAAAGTTCACTCAGCAACTGTACTCACCTCTTCCTAAATGTCTGCAGATCAGTGCTTGTGCCAGCATCATCTGCCCACATCGCAGCATACATCCCCAGCCCGCATCAGACGAAGGACCAGTGCCTCCTATTAAAAAAGTTCATTACAACCAATACGGGCTTTAAATGAGCGCAGCGCCAGAGAGAAAATTTCAGAGTTAAAATCTCCAGCAACTGTCCTATGGATAAAAGGTGCTGAGCAAGACCTTTTCTTTCCATATTGCTGGTCTAACTTTACTGCTTGCTCTACAAGCATGAAGACCTGATTATATGCAGGTACAAGTAAACACAGTTTTTAATAGCTTTAATATTTTGTTTGCATAAACAGTTAAAATGATGCTCAAAATTGCTCTAATACTGCAAAAATCATTTTTCAGTCCATGACAACATCACTAATACTGCTATCTAATTTATAACAAAGCAGCTGGTCTGCTGCGTACTTACCAATAGGCGAAAACTTTCTTCTGTACGTAAACCAGAGACGAGCACTTATATCCAACAGTAACTTAGATTTGTCTGGAATATTTTTAAGAGGAAAGAAATTATTAATCTGAACTTTTAAAACTGAAAAATACTAATTTTCCCTGTACAGTCAATATATGGAGTGCATGGAAGACTCCTATTAGCTTTTAATGCAAACCAACATGAACTTATGCATTACCTCCGAACCCAATAGAAAGTCATTTTAAGAAAAGGCTAATAATATTAAATTATTAAATCTCTTTTTTTTTTTTTTTAAATACATGCGCTTAAAGAATTTTCCCAAAGGCTCTGAAGAATTCTTAAGAATCTTATTTGCAGCACTTTCTCTGGGCCGTGGCTCAGACTGACTGGCCATTCCAAGGGATCCTTCAGCCGACCAAGGTTGCATGTGGTACCCTCGGCTGTCTGAACACCACGCCTGCGCTGATGGCCACCGCCTTTGATGCCTAACAAGGATGCCCTTGTCTTCTCCCCAAGGAGCAAAACTCATTTGTGAAATCTTATTTTCATCTAAATATTTTCTATAAATACATCACTCCGCTATGACTTTTAGGTCATATATTTTCATCAAAATACAGTACGTGCGCCAGATTAATTTTTTTATTATTATTGCTATTATTCTTCTTCTTTTGAAATATCATTTTAGTTGCAAATAACAGGCTGCAGACGGCATCCCCCAAGGGAAAATAACATTAGTAGTACTGAACATACCCCAAAAGTAATTTATTTATCTATTTCCGAGGCATTTGATGTTGATGAGTGACCAGCCTCATACCTGACCGGCCTTTGCTACAAGTACGATCTCTTTGCATGAACTATGGTAGAAAGTACGTTGGTAAATTTCTCATTTCATTTTAGGATGAATACCGCTGGTTATAGTTGGTTTCTTGTTGATGGAGAAAAATAAACTTCTCTCATGAGACATTCAGAGAACGTAAGGAAATCAGGAGTTGCTGCTGCATGTGAATGTATGAATCTCTACTGATTCTACAGATGAATTTTCATTCTAAAGATACCTGCGTTTAGGTGGTGCTGCCTTCCTAGAATCCACACGGGCTCATCAGTTTCTGGAAATTCTTCTAAGTAGTCTGACAAAATAGTGATCTGGTTTTCATACCTAGATAAAACTGAAGAGGAATACACAAAATTCAAACTCCATTTTGTCCCTTTGTTCTTTTTTGCACAACTTTTGAGTTCTCAGACTGAACCAGCTGTAGCTAGTCTTTGCAGTCTTTAGGTCTTCAGAACGGTGCTGCCAGCCGCGTTTACCCTTTGCCTTTAACAAGCTGTTCTGACACTGAAATATCCGATGTCTTGGCTGGTTTTTTATTTTGATCCTCAGCGAGTGCTGAGAGAGTAACATGGCTGACACCTTGATTATAAGCAGTCTGACTGAAGCCAGTAGCAGAGGTTCAGGACGACTGCAGTGAGAGTAAGATTTGATTCAAGGAAATGAGGAAAGGGAAAACCAATTTAGGCATCACAGCATATGTGCCCCTGCTCGAGCTTAAATGTACAAATACTGCCACTGAGAGCAATTATGTCTTGTGCTTAATGGGAAGCATGTGAAAAGTGTCAGCAAGACCGCGTTTTACTTTCCTAACTGGAGATTTGAAACGCTTCAGAATAAAAGATGTATTTATGTTATTTTTCAACGCTAGACCTGTTTACTGTAAAATAACACATGATAATTATTACTACTTAAAGACAACCATTCAATCAATTTTTAGATAATTAGTTAAAGCAGGGGGTGTTGGAAAGCAGGCCCTCAAGTGTAAAAATGAACGTGAAATAATTTCTTTTACATACCAATCTTAAGCAATATACTGCTAAAAAATCAAAGTTGAAAGTGAAAGCAAACACAGTTGTATGGTGCTCCTCAAGTAAGTGCACATATATAAAGAATGAATAGGTACTCCTCAAGTGCACATATATAAAGAATGAATAATCATCAGGTGAATACACCAAAAAAATAAATTCATGTAAAAATACACTTGCAGCAATGAGAAGTGACACTGGGCTACAGCACCCCGACCCGGGCAGCCAGGGCCAGCGCTGCCAGGCTCCCAAGGTACACCTCCTCCGCAGGGCAGCTGTTAAAACCCATTCTTCTTAAAAAAACGATTGTTTTGAACTTCTTTCTCAGGGCTGTAGGCAGAGCGAAAGCACCTCTCACACCCAGCTCGGCCTTCTCCGTCGGAGCCGGCCCCGCTCGCCGCCCGCCCCGAGCG